AAAATACGTACGTCACGTTGAAGATGACATATTTGTAATTTCTGGTTGGTAATTCGTATTAACAATTATTAAACAATAGAATAAGTTAAGTACGAAAGATTATCTATAGTGCCCAATTTGAGTTCACAATCTCAAATTTGAGTTCGATCGGTCTCAATTTCTTTCATTTATTTATAATTACATTTTGTTTTTCGCGAATCTAAGTAAGAAACTTCTACATTTTAGAAATAATTGTTTGCCACATATTATTGCATAGTTCACTAAATCTCTGATCTTTTGTTCTTTATTTTTATAAAAAGGCACAAATTACCCGCCTATATGTCAGTATAATTTAATAATTTTGTAAGTTATCACGAAAAATCACACAATTTGGAGTGAGTATTTCGCAGCATAGATTATTTTTCGTCATCATATTGGTCCTTCGAACCGGCTTTATGTTGAGCTATTTTTTTCTTATTTTTTAAAAGAGGCACAAATCACCTGCCTATGAAAAGGCGTCAATGTAAATAAGTTGTAATTTATTCTTCTTCCATATTGTAAGTAGGGGGGCGTCCATTAATTACGTGAGGTATTTTTGAGGATTTTTTGACTCCCCCTCCCCCCTGGCGAGATTTGGTAAGATTTTCCTTAACTCCCTCCCCCCCCTTCCCTAATCTCACGTGAGATTTTTCAAAATTCGTGTTTTGGGTGTAAATGTGTTGAATTATTAAAAAAATAACAAAAACACAATATCGTCGGCTGGACTGCAAAACCTCGTATCTGCGTTTCCAATAATTTTACAGGAGAGGGTAAAACCTGTCTGAAAGAATAAATTATCGATTTTAATGTTATACTTTTGTTTATTAAAACTCAAAATACATTCCCTTCTTGGATATTAACATTGAACATACAAAAATAAAAAACTTTCTAACATTTTTCACATACGAGCTATTGAACTACACAAATAAGTCAAAAATATCAAATACGAGGTTTTGCAGTCCAGCCGACGATATGTTCCATTACTTTTATTTAAGACTAGCAAAGACTAGTGTTTGAGAGTGTTGCAATTATTTAAAATCACATTAATAAAATTAAATGATAAATACTTAAATGGAAATTAATAAAAAATAAATAAACATAATTATAAGATGTTTCCATATTTTATTCTAGAAATACTTTTACTATAATTTAACTTTACTTTCACGCAATTTTACACCGTTTTCTACTAGAAAAAAAATTACGTGAGATTTACGAAACCCCCCCCCCCCCCAAGTGAGATTTAGAAAGATTTAGTTTTATCCCCTCCCCCCCTTGAACACCTCACGTAATTAATGGACGCCCCCTAGTATATTTCTTTTTTAACATGTCATCCCATTATTTTTGTGAATTTTTATATTGATATAATGACGAGTTATACGAAACTAGTAGCACCTTCAATTAAAAAAAAAAATATATGTCCTACCAATTTTTAATTTTCTTTATACATCTGAACAAAATACATTTTATTAAAATAAAAATAAACAGTTTTGATTAGTTTTTGTTTTATGTATACTCGCCACTACTAGCTACTTCAATTTTTATAACGAGCCCCCCCCCCTCATTATGACGTATGTATTCATCTCTATTTGAGAGAAAATATACTTACTAACAATTTTCAAATTATTACGGGATATATACTTAAAGTGATGGTTGAAGCCAAACGGTATATCAATGAAAAAGCTTTGCTCCTTATTTTTTTAATGTTTAAAAAAATTTTTAAAATAATTTCACAGTTAAGTCATAGTATGTTAAAGTTGATTTTGAAATCTTAAATGGTACATAACTATTAAATTTCAGCTCTGGTAGATTTAACTGGTAATTTTAAATAAAAAAATATAAATTTACTAAAATTAGGTATTATTTAAAAATTCTGGTTATGATTAATAAGCTTAGTTTAAGGGAAATGCTCCTTTAAATTTTGGTGAATGAATCTAAAGACTCAAATAATTTTTAGATCGACCAAGAAAAAATGTACAGGTTGGCGCAAAAGTACCTTCATAATTTAAAATTTTAAAAATGAAAAGTTAATATATAAAAAGTTAAGCAAATTTATGTTTTAAAACTTTGTTTTCACTTATTTACGATAAATGATCTTTACTAAATGATATCCTCTTTCCAAATATGAGCTCTTATTAGCACATCTTCCATGACCTTCTGTAAAGTTTCTGGAGATATCCTCAAAATATGTTTTCACAGACATAGAAGGTGCTATCAAAAGCACCTTCCCAAAGATAATACACTCACTAACCAACAGGAATGTTCCACAGATGGTTAGTGGGTGGATACATAACATGCTCTCAAAGCGAGCAGTAAATATATGTAGAAGTGAATATAAGAGGCTTGGTTGCAAGGGGATATCCACAGGGAGAGGTGCTATCACCTCTACTGTGGAACATGGTCCTCAACACTTTCATCAGCCGCCTCAATAATGACACTCACTACACAATAGCATATGCAGATGACCTGGTCTTTCTGAAAACATGGAATTTTAAGAACATACTCTGCGAAAGAATGCAAGTAGCTCTAAAAATTATAGAACAGTGGTCCAAGGACCATTCACTGTCTATCAATCCTAAGAAGACAGAAATAGTCCTTTTCACAAGGAAAATGATGAAAATGAAAATAAAACCTCCAGAACTCCTAAACACAAAACAACTTTGGAACAGACAACCTTTGACAGCAAGTTAACATGGAACTCGCATTTAGAAAACAAGTCAAAAGAGCGTACATTGCTTATGAACAATGCCGTCGAACCGTGGGGCGTACCTGGGGTTTCTTCCCCAGAGTCGTCGCATGGACTTACACGGCTATCATAAGACCTATGCTAAGATACGGTACAGTTGTCTGGGTACCAAGAACTCAAAAATTAACAGCTATCCGTAAACTAGAACAAATTCAAAGAACAGCATGTCTCAACATAACAGGAGCCATGAAAAAAACACCGATCAGAGCCATGGAAGTCAGTCTTAGTCTCACTTCCCTTGATATTTACATCAAGGAGGTTGCTCTGACGAAAATGACACGCCTCCGCACGGTTGGAATAGAACCTGGTGTAGGATCTGGTGAGGCGAGACGTTGCTTTTGGCACTAGGCGCTTGATACGCTCCCACTGCTTTAAGCGAACACAGGGACTCAATTTCACCGAGATATGTCTTCCATAAGCCATATAAAGTTATAACAGAACAAATAGAAGAGCCGGAAGTGGCAGGTACGATTTATATCTACACCGATGGTTCTAAAACAAAACAAGGCTCAGGATGTGGAATATACTCTAGATTGTTAAACCTAAATATAAAATGGGCTGTGAGCAATAGTGCCAGTGTAGTTCAAACAGAGCTAACGGGGATTCTCATAGCAGCAAAAGAAATCATTAGAAACAGTATTACTGGAAGGAACATGCTCATCTATACAAATAGAAGACAAGCACTACTCACCCTGAACAGACCACGAATTTACTCAGGGTTAGTACTAGAATGTCACGAAGCTTTGGTTGAAGTATCCATCAACAATGTGGTCACCTTAAGATGGATCAAAGGTTACGCCACATCGAAAGGCAACCGTCTTGCTGATTCACTAACCAAGAAAGCAGCCAACCAAATACTTACTGGCCCTTCTATTGGCATGACAAAATCGGTAGTGACAGACCTAATTAAAGAACATTCCCTTGTGAAATTTAAGGAAAGATGGGATGAAACAAGAAAATGTAGAGTTGCCAGGGACTTCTTAAGTTATCCTGACAACACTGCAGCAAACAACACGAGTAGTGTTGATCTTATTCTTGTCATGGTAAAAAAATCCAGCATTTCCCTGTATCGGTCTCCATTTACTAACAGTGTGTGACCAAATTCATCTTGGAAAACATAGGAACTGATTATTCTTTGGGCTGACATTGCGCACCATACCATACCTTTTAGCTATGGAGGGGCCTTTGGTGAATTAATTGTGGAATCTGTGTACCCTAATACCGCGAATACGTAGGTGAAAATGTGCTATGTCCAAAATCCACAATTTGTTTACAAAACCTTCCTCTCTGTCTGCAAGATTTAATATGACTCGGCTGTATTCTAGACGTGCATTAACGACTTGTTGACTCAGTTGTTACACCAGCTGGATTTGATACAGATGCTGGTGGAAATCTTGTTTTAAAATGCGCAGCAGTGATCGTCGTTTGATGCCTAGCTGCAAAGAACGTCTTCATGTTGAAGTTGTCGGTGCTTCTTGAATTATTTCCTGCACAATGGATCTTGCTGTTCGCGGTCTTCCTGCCCTCATTGCGTCTCATACTGATCCCGTCTTTTTAAATTTGCCTACAAGTTGCAATATGGCTAGAAGGAGCGTATCTGACATTAAACTATCTCTGAGTACTACCTACTAATCTTCTTCCGTTTTACAAATAAAAAGTTAGGATCTTTGTCCTTTCTGCAGGCGTGTATCAAATAATCCAAGTATTTATTTTAATCTGAAAAAAAAACTTAATAAATATTAATTCCAGAAAGAATTACTGAAATTAAAAATTGTGAAGGTACTCTTGCGCCAGCCTGTATGTGTTATTTTTTATATTGAGTATGTTTTGGGTAATCAAAGTTTAAAGGAGCATAATATTTCATGCAAAACCATTGTTTATTGGGAATACTATAATGAGAATTTGCACAATTGCGACATTTTTAGTGAAAATAAATTTATTAAATTTTCTTTAAAAATCGTATTTTTGAAATAAATTGTGCCACTTCGCTATTATTGTATATTAATATTGGATAATTTCTGATAAGTATTGTTCATTAGATGTTTTGTGAGAATTGAGTCTAAATTACTAAATAAGTTTAAAAGATTGGTGTTTGAAACAAAAAAAACGACACAATTTTTGCAAAACTTCTGAAAATACTTTGCCTGAAAAACTAATAGAAATTAACGTAGGTAAATTGCATGCGGTTTCTGTCTCTTTCTCTTGGTAACCTAACATTTTCCGTCCGCTGGGATTTTAGGGCGAAATGATCGATCGCATCGAGTACCATGTCGAACACGCAGTGGATTACGTACAAACGGCCACCCAAGACACTAAAAAGGCTTTACGGTACCAAAGCCGCGCCAGACGGGTGAGTCGAACCCTTTAGTTATTTAAGTACACGATGTGTTTAAGACTGCTTCTGATTTTGGTTTTATTTTATTTTTTATCTTTCCTCGTATACTCCTTACTTCCTGACTACATCCGATATTTATTTGTCGTAACTATTATTTTTTGCTTTGCACCCATTTTACTAACAACTAACTATACTTATATGTGCCTTTGTCACTTTTTTGGGTAACTAAATGTTTGTATATACATATTGTTGCGATGTGTTCTTTCTCTGTTGTACTCTTCTCCCCCTGTACTTTTTCCTCCCCGATCCCATGTTCCCTGAATTAGGGAGAACTGGTGGATAGAATTGAGTACCATGTGGGAACCACGCAGAACCACGTGCAGGAAGGACGCAGTCAACTTAAGCAGGCAGAATCTTATCAAACGAAGGCTAGGAAGGTAGGTGGTGGGGTAAAATGAATTAGAGAAAATCAGCTAATGAGATCAACAAACTTAAATTGTTGTGATGGTATTGAAATTAACATTATTTTTATTAGCAAAATTTCCGTGTATTTTCAGATGGCCTACACGGTCGCTGGACGTTGTCCTATTGTATTTAGTATTACGAATGTGTCAAGTAGGTACTAAAAATTAAATCGTTCAATTTTTAAGGAGATTTTTTTTACTTTTAACGCTTCTTATGATAACATGGTGGTTTAATATCCCAACTGAAAAATATTTTTCAATGCATTATACAGTGTATAAAAGGTAGGTCATAAAAACTATCAATGTTCTGGAGTCAAAAGTGCATACAAAAAATTTATATAGCCTTTTAAAATTGCAAATTGAAAGTACATTTTCCCAATAACTCCGAAACTGTCAAACATTTTGTCATTAAAATAGGTATGTGGTCTTCTTAAGATAAGAGCAACTCTGCATGAAAAAATTACGAAAACAGTGAACCCCATTTTTATGGGGATTACGCTCTCGTAGGCTCCTCAAACTTTTTGTATACATTTTAATAGGTTATTCTTCTATCGCCATTAGTTTAATACATTCATTTTGAAACTTTTTAGGCCCTTGGTACTTTTTCGAAAAATATTTTTATTCGATTTACTGCAACTTTTTTTAATATATACGAGATCGCATAAAAATTGACGCCTACATAAGTTTGGACAATGAGTTTTTACCGCAAATTAATACTTAGATGATTTGTATTTTTAAAAATTAAATATTCAAGATTGCAGTTCTTACACAAAGAGTTGCTAGACATTTTGTAATCAGGCGAAATTTGTGGTTTCCACAAAATGACATATTACAGTAACCAAATTAGAGATTTTTTTTGGCAGTACCTTCAATACACCTATTTTTGACCCACTCAGAGAAATATCTCTTGATTTTAATTTTAGGGATTTTATAAAAGAAGAAGTTCTTGATGAAAACAATGGAAAAACAGCAATTGACATGGAATTACTGAAGCTGACAATAAATTTAACAAGAAACCATTCATTTTTCAAAGTATTTATTTTTGGTTAAAAATAATTACCTTAACTTATGAAGTCGTCAATTTTTCTGTGACTACATATTGAAAAATTATGATTCCTATACTTTCCTTATCTGTGTTCAGACAGGAAAGTAAAAAGTTTTCTAAAAAGTGCTAAGGGCCAAAAACGTTTCAAACTAAATGGGTTATTATTTATTTATTTATTTATTGTATAGAGTAAAAATATTCCAATTCTCAAATGTGACCAATTTAAAAATAAACTATAAAGGAAAAGACGTCACAGAAACAAGGATCAACCATTTCCCTCTTGAAAACTACTACTCCTTTGGCTAATACTGCAAAAGGCATTGCATTATATCAAAAGGTGAATAGCGGAGATAGAAAATAATTTCCAACACTCCAACTTTGATTTTGCTTCCTAAGAAGAAAGTCATTCTTGGACCGGTTTTGTCCTTATTAAGACTCTTCGGAAAGAAATAGACAACCTCGATTTCAGTCTTTAATAGAGACTGGTGACAATACAAACACATTAACAGCGGTTGAGAACTAACAAAAATGGTAACGACATATTTTCCAGTTCATAGCATTCTACTTAAATTTGAGAACATTGGAACAAAATCGGGTTTAGGTAAATATTTAAATTTAACATTTGACAAATCCGACAAGTTTGTGCTGTCTTATTTATTTTGCCATATAATTCCAAAAAATCTCTTTTTATCTCTTTTAAAAACCATTATGCTCGCCTGTGTTAGGATCTTCATTACATTTACTATTGTTAGAAATCATCAAATTACAACAATATAATAATTTCCTCCATTCGGTATATCAAAACATAATCTTGAAATTGCATCACTATTTTTTACTTCTTGGCAACTGTAAAGTAGTTTTGAGATATATTGCGACAGGGCAAGAGTCCCCTCCAATTCTTCTTGGAACCTCGTATGTTGTTTCCCACTCCAACGTATTGTGGGTGAAGTTGTCGCAATCGTGTCTCAAAACTACTCTAATGATTACCAGTTATGTTAAAACTGGATAAAAATAATTGCCATATTGCCAAATGTTCTCTTAAGTGGCAGTGTGGCATGTAAGTACACACCGAGAAAAACTTTGCCAGTGAGACATCTAAACTGATTAATAGTACATATTAAACTTTTGTTATTAGATCAGTGTTGCTATTACAAGCAAACAAATAAAAAACTTTGCCTATCATTAGTAAATTAATTTGGTAACAGGTAACATTTTATTAGGAGGAAGTAAATACTTTAATAGTCATTATTAAACAGGGTAATGGTAGATATTGAACAGCTTAATAGCATTTAGTTCACAAGTATTGTTAATTTAATAACTGTTATTAATGGTTTTAATGATGGATATTTGCAGGTCCTAATACTGTCTATTAAACCACTTTAATTATGATTTTTAAACAGTTGAATAGAGGTCGTTCAAAAATATCTCCTCCAATAATTGGTAATTGTCTTATCTAACTATATGAAATATTACCATATGAAACCATAGGTTAGTACCCCACTCTTTTTTATTTTTAGTTCAAGAAAAAAAACCTACATAGATAAAGGTTATATTATCTGGACGATTGTGGGTCAATTTTTCCAAAATTTGTTATAGTTATTATAGAAGGAATTTACAAAATTTCATTTTTTTTAGAGATTTTCTTAATTTTTTTAGAAAAAAAAACCATCAAATTTTTAAAAAATCTAGTTCCAGATAAACACAGATTTAACACCTACAAACATAATAAACTTTATAAGTGGGGTACTACTAACAGCTTGCATGAATATAATTCGTATTAGTTAGAAAAGACACATACCAAAACAACGACCGGCATCTCCAATTCTTTAGTAATTCAGTATAATCCAGTATTTTAGTTCATTAAAACTCACTGGGACACGATTTACTAAATTTCATAGGGATAGAGTTGTTTCATTTCATGCTATGGCGCGAATGATTATTGAGCTTGTAAATCTACATCACGTAGAGTATGGAGGGGATAACAATCGTTAAAATTTACTTGTGGTTATCGAATATTTAATTATAGTTAGCAAACTGCTATTAAAGAGTTTAATAGGCACCATTAAATCAGTTTAATAGTAATCAGAAAGCTAGTGGGTGTTAAAGTTTTTACTAATATGCTATTGGTTATTAAACAATTGACTAATTACAGCAGTTTCAAATTAATACATTTCCAGCAACATTCGTTTAATTACTGGTATTAACCGAAAATGAAGTAATTTGTTAGTGACAATCAAATTTTTTCTATTAAACATGTTTTCTCGGTGCATATATCGGGTGTCCGCGAAAACTTTAAATGGAATTATATCTGGTGTTTTAAAAGATATCGACTTCAAATTTTGGAAGAGCATTAAGGAAATAGGGGAAAATTAATAGTATATGAGATACAGTATCGCATTTAAATTTTTGGACCGGGGGTGACTGAGGGCGGCAAATATGTTGGGGTTGTATCTCATATAATATTAATTTTCTCCCTATTTCCTTAATGACATTACAAAATTTTCAGTCCATATCTTTTAAAACACCAGATATAATTCCATTTAATATTTTCACACGGACACCCGGTACATTTAGGTAAACCTCCCTTCTGTTGTAGTTAAGTTTAGATCAAATAGATGGTGTTTAACATGAGTTGGAATACATTTATATTAGTCGACTAGAGGTATAGATTTAAGCCATTTCAATAAGGAAATCCTTCATCATTAACTTTCTTAAAAAAATCATTGGTCTACTTCTAGAGTTTTTATGTTTACAGAAACTACTTTTTTCCATCGGAACAACTGCCATTAAATTTTAGCACAGTTTGTTGCAAAATTTCTTTACGAATGATATTTATGAACTCATTTTTTTTATCGAATTGCCTAATTCAGTGTTTCTCAAACTTTTTTGGCGAAGGAACCGTTTTGAAAAGCGAAATATTTGACGGAGCCCTAAAATAGATTTTTTAAACTTTATATTGGTTTAGATAGGTTTTATTACTTTGCAACCTCGGAGTATTTCTAAAAAAAATCTTCAAGCAAAATCTGATCCTCCTTGAACCAGTTGTCCTCCCTTTTGTGACGAACTTCCTCATAGTACTCCTCTACTATTTTTTTTATTATGACTATTATTTTCGCGGAGCCCCCACGAAGGCTTAGCGGAGCCCCAGGGCTCCACGGAGCACACTTTGAGAAACACTGGCCTAATTTATCAGTGATAATGTGGAATATAAGTTTAAGTTGCGAATAAGGATCGTTTGCTGAAACTGGTAAACAAATAAATATTTTTTCTACCATAGAACTGAAGTAAATCTCATAATACAATAGGGCCTAATACTGTCATTAGTAATTTGAACATAAAATATAAAGGGTGGTCCATTTAAAAAATCAAACTTAAGGGCATTTGCGGTAAAACAGGAAGTCGATCATTTTGTTTGAAGTATAAGTGTCAATTCAAAATTATGTCTAGTAGTTGTATCCCAAATTTGATCGAAATCGCTTTTTAAATAAAAAGAATATTAACGTGGC